GACGAGATCGCGTACGAGCTTCTGAAAGTAGAGGGGCCCCTGTTCCATCTTAGGGTGAAGCTCTCCGTTCACGAAGACGCCAGCTTGGATATTCTTGTGTGCATTGGCGCACAGGTATTTATCCTCCGACATGATACGCTTGTAGATGTCGCTGATCACGTTGAATTCTTCGTCGGATGAGTTCTTGTTACGGAAGACCTCGTAGTACATGATTGATGTGTTGGGGCTCTTGGGGATGAATCGTTGTATGAAGAAGAAGTGAGGCCTAGGATAAGTCAGTGGCATGGTCTTTCTTATCATGGATGATATCTATACGTACGAGACATTCATCGAGGCGTTGGGGAAGTAGAAGGTGGCGGCGACATTGAAACCCTTTGCGATTTGCTCAGGTGTCGGGTTGCCGAGATGTTGAACGTATGAGTTCTCCGTGACAACACCATAAGCACTGAGATCGGCGACAGTGGGAATATCAGGGTGCGTAGTCGGGCAGTGATAACACTCATTGTAGTTATCTCCCAGAAGCTTCCAGTTATACTCCCCCTCCATTTGCCAAGTGTGGTCGAACTTGTAGTCGTCAAAGTTATACGCCTTGAATCTAGCCTGCTTATCAATGTTCTTATAGTCATCTTCCCACAGAGTGGATGGCTTCTCTGTGGCCTCCATGTTCACCCAAATAAACCCATTGGTGTCGATATGAACATGGATAGGAAACAGGTTGTTTTGGCTTTTGTCGAACCCTTCGAGGTCCTGATATGACGGCGCTTTGGTGAGCTTGCCATTGAGAGCATAGGACCAGTTGTGGTACTTGCAAGCAAGGATGCTGTTGTTTCCTCCGTCACTCGTCACCACTGGAAAGGCCCGGTGTCTGCAGACGTTGTGAAACGCATTGATAGTTCCATTGCGGTCCTTTGCGATAACAAAATCGAAGCCGGCTACCTGGTACCGTAGCCAGTCTCCTGGGTTTGGGAGTCTTATTTGGTGCGTCGTGAGGAGCCATTTCTTCGAGAAAATTGCCCGTCTCTCGAGCTCATACATCTCTTCGGAGAGATACCATGAGCCTGGTAGAGCTCTGACAGCCTTGGCTTTTCCATCCTTACTCTTAGAGAAGCTCTTAGAGAGCCAGCTTAAGCTAGAGAACCTCGACAAGTATGAAAGGGCTAAAGCAACTAAGGACGCGGATAGCGTCAACAGAAGAATCTGGGGCGAGTAGTAAATGGATATCTCAGCCATAGTGGAATGGGCTTGAGTTCTTCGGAGTATATTGTTCTAAGATAGAAAGTATAGGGCCGAGATAAATCGTCAGATTATCTACAGCATGGCGGTCAGCCCCTATGTATATGAATCCCCCCTCATATTACTGTCAAGCATGGGCCAATATACGGCCATATCGCAGCCTATCTAATAGAACTGCTATTATTCCGTCCTAATCACGATTGTGACGACGCATGAGATATGGCTGTAGACCCAGAGGCGGTTGAATATCGATCACATGACCGGCTTTGGAGCCATCCCAAGACTGCGGCGGAGATGTTCCGAGATACGCTCACGTGATCGGAGGCCACTTACTCTACGACTTAGTTACCATCCATTTCACTTCGTTATGTGGGACTACTACAATCAATAGCATTATAGTCCGGAACACACGGGGTATTGGGCTCGTTAGGTAACATAGCAGGGCTGGTTCTAGACTGAGCAAACGGGATGATGCGTCTAAACTACCACGATAGGTAATATGAGGAGTACAATGCCATCTAAGCAGCGTGGCGATCCCGGAGACTGCAGGCGAAATGAAAGCGAACGTTCATGTCGTGAGATTTGCTCAACCGTATCTGGGGACATTTCGCACAACGATGGAAAATCATTACACAAGTCTACGCTAGCTGCCTCATAACAGTAAGGAGAATACGGAACTGAATTATTATGATACATCAATTGGAATTCGACACGGCCAAATCCACGAATGTACTTATTTATCAGCGCTAGAATTTTGTTAATCTTGAAAAATAAACGAGTAAGCATTTAATTTAATAAGGTCTCGTGAGCATAGCCGACAGTCTCTTATTTGAGCCGTTGTATTTGGCAATTATAAATTCAACCTAGGCCTAATTGAGAGCTTGATTATCCCTTTCAGATCGTGGATATTATTCTATGCAGTTGCTCGCTTTCCGTGGAACTACAATTACGAGATAGACATTGGCCAACACGGAGACGATATGTGTATACACTAGCAATGCATAGCGCTGCTTACGCATTTTCCTTGCCACCTTTGTTGAAGTGAGATGCAAAGACAAATTGGAAAACCTCTTGGTCCGTCGGCAACGGGATTATAGTCCCGGTCGTAAACAAGATTCAGCATCTGTCTATCCCCGCGTTTTAGTCCAGTTACGATCCAGCAGAAACGCCCTGGCCGGGGAGTGTCACGATGTTTCTGACCAACGCGTTCCACGTGGTGGCTCATCGGAGAGGATCCTACGGTCTAGGCTTCGGTCCTCTTGAGACATCTCGACCAATAACAAACTGTACTCAGATCACCTGGCTACCCTGTTCTTGACTCTAGGATGAGCAAAATGCCAAGGTAGATCTTTCCTGGTCAATAGACTCACAAACTGACTTTTTCAAGGTTCATATTACATAACCTATACTCAAATTGACCAGAAACACGACAGACTTTCCGTAGCCAGATACGGCCATAACGTCTCTATATTATAGGACTTATACAAAATCAAAGCATTTAGCTATTCCGCAACTAGAAGAAGCTCACAGCAAATCTAACGGCAGGATATGCTATAATTAGAATAAAAATTTCATAGAAAAATAACCGCACATATTGTGATTAAAGTAGTTTGAAATTCATGTTACTTTATAACTTCGAGGTTCTCACAGGGTCTATCAGATCCTTCATTTCTGACCTAGGCCAGTCTGGGAATAGAGCTGGATCCGGACGGTGTCTATCCCAAGCCCATTTCTCCGTCAATTGAGGGGACAGCTGGCCCTCTATCATCTGAATAACATACTTCCCTATCACCGGGAAGAATTTGTAACCGTGGAAAGACCCACCAGTCGCAATGTATAAGCCTTTTGCAGCCGAGTGCGGGGAGATGATAAAGTCTGAGGTTGTGGTGAAGGCGTCCCTGTCCAAGCTCTTAGTTAGCTGCTTCCTTCTCGGGAGCTATGAGACATACCAGCAAATACGATGTTTCGTCAACTCCCAATGCGCAGTCTTATTACCGTAGAATACATGATTGGCATATTTGATGTCGTCCTTCAGCCTTTTGGATACCTCCCACTGAGCGTAGTCTGGCTTTGGAGGCGGGGATGAGACATAATGACCAGGCAGCACTTCTCTAGTATTTTTGAATATTGTCTGTCCCCACCACTTCATCTCACGACTGTCTGGTGTTGGCGGGAGAGAGCCGATGAAGGGTCCTGTTCGGATTCTTAGTTTTTATTCCCCAGGCGGAGTGGAGCGCTTCCGGTAGAGCACCCTTACCTTGTTCGGGAGTATACCCCTGGAAAGCTACCGGCATGGACCCGAAGATTGCATGCGACTCGTCATCTAGCTTCGCCATTCCTGTCGTGATACCACCTGCAACAAGTCTAAATCCAGCTGCAATGTTAGGCAGACCACTGCTGACGGCACTGTATTCCAACAATGTCGGCGTGTAGGCCCCAGCGCAGATAATAGTATGTGTTGCCTTCAAGGTCTTCCCTTTCGTCGTTCGGATGCCTGAACAATTCCCATTCTTGTCTAAGAGCAACGTTGCAACTTCCGCTACCTCGTACTGCACACCCAGGTCGAGACATTTGCGAGTGACTGCGCGTAGAGAATCTCCGGCAGCACCCCACCCTCCCGTAGGATTAATGAGTACCTCCTTAACGCCGGTATAGTCGGCGCTGTCGAATAATCCGCCATACAGCTTGCGTGCCTCCTCGACAGTCACAGCTTTGATCTCTGCCTTTCTTCCAAGGCGTTTGTAGTTGCTGATGACGTTTTGGGCATAATCATCGCGACATGTCCATATGAGGCCGGTCTCATGGAAGTAGGGCTTCCACAAGGGGTCCGATCTGAAGACGTCCTGCGCCTCAAGCGCAAGCTCGCAGTAGATTATGTCATCATAGTCTGCCCGCACGACCTTGTTCCAGTCCCATGAGGCAGCTACGCGAGTCTCGGCGTCATAGGCGTCCCGATCAACAAGGGTCACTGATGCGTTAGGGTACTTCTTGATGAGATGGTAGGCTGTCGAGACGCCAAAAATGCCAGCTCCAACGATAATGTAAGACACTTTTCCCGACGACATTTTGAATATGCAACCACGATGACAAACGAATGGATAACGCGAAAGAATATTTCTATTCCTTCTAGTTGCACTTATCTATCACATCTTTTAGTTTATGTATGTCTCCTCACCGCCCACTGCCAGGCCGCGCCTTTCTGGTCGCTTTGGACCTTGGTACTTAGTTGCGTCGTGCCGGTATCGCTTAAAGGTGACCCAGTCTTTCGGTTGTGTAAGTCGTCACGGCATTCGTACCCCTATTCCCGCTCACGTGACCTGCGTCCCGAGATGCCCATTGGTATAGTTATCAGTATGAGCAAGAACAAAGCTAGCTCTAGACCATTCCAAAGTCCTGAACTCAGCAAGAACCTTTAGATTATTCGATCCCTTAATCACCGGTTTCCAGATTCTGGTGGTTATTGAAAGTAACTAGATATTCACGCCTTCGAACGGCGATGCACGCAATATTTGTAGTGAATCGCGATAGCTGCCTACCTAGGGTATTTAGTGATATCTTCCAATCAACCGCTAAAAAGACCTGCAATGCCTAAAATACCGAGGCATATAGTTAATTATCTCGTCTGCCTGCTACACTGTATTAGCTAATTAGCTACGAAGTTTGGAGTGATTGGCGAGGCATTCCTAGGATACAGGATTGAGAGTTTGCGCACAAGATAAGACAGAGTTTAAGTTCATGAAACAGCACTCGCCTGCAAAGGACAACAGGCCCCTATGGCGTAGTGGTAGCGCGTGTCACTTGTATCAAATATCAAGATTATGACAAGGTCTCTCGTTCGATCCGGGATGGGGGCAGATTTAACTGAATTTTTACTATTGCCGCCGATTTTCACCACGTCTTTTTTTTAAGGCTTTTCCTGACACGATTACTTACTTTTCGTCACAATGAAATTATTTATGCGTTATTAAAGTTTTTTTATTTCTTATTTTATTTTTTTATCTTTCACTTATCCGCGGGCACGACGATAGGCACGGCACCGGCGATAAAAGCGCAAATTATATCTAGTATTGATGGATTTACAACGGCTGGCCACATGAGTTAATTAGCCAATGCTGGTAATAGCAATTGGACCGACTTAGTGGCCATGCATCTACACGAGACCAGTTGCGAGAAAGGTACAGGAATAACAAATAGCCTCTGATATCTAGGCAACAGACATAGTCCTGCTATCTAAATACAGTGAATACGAGGCAACGACTCGAACAGCCCCGGTTGCTCTGCCTTATTCTAAGCACTTAGGCTAGTTCGCACATAATGCTCTGAGTAACCTCGTCCCACCCGTAGATGGCCAAGTTATAATGGCGGTCGTCGTTGGTGACGGGCCCGCCAGGGGCTCCACCGCAAGCGGTGTTTCTAGTTGCGCAATTAGCTGGAGCTGGCTGTAGGACCGCGGGCTGTTTTGCTCACTGGTTGAAGATATAGCAGTTATATCCATCGGCACCCCTCGCGGAGGTAAGGCCAGTGGGAACTGGGACTGGTAGCACAAGGCACGAGTTAGTACATGGCAATCATTAAAAGATATACTGATCGGAAGGTTTGAAACAGTAACGTACTGCATTCGCCAGCAACTCCACAAATATTGTGGCAGTTCTCGAAATTCTGGTCTATACAGTATTGAAAAATGAAGGTCGCGTAAGTGGGCACGGTTAGAACACCGATGCTAGCGGTGAGCAAAGATACTTGTTTAAACGAAACCATGATGTCTGTTGATAATCCAAAAACGATGGATTCAGTCAGGAGCTCTGGAAGGGCGCAGACTCGTTGTTGGAGTTGGAAAGTAAAGACTAAGTGCTCGTCTTCTTCAAGGCAAGAGTGCCGAACAAGCCCGCCTTTTGTATTGCTCAGTTCCAGCATACCCTCACCTTCCCTCTCGAGTCATTGTTTTCTTGCGAGTCCTAGAATCATACAATCACAGTAGCTCTTGTTTTTGCGCAATCTATACCGGCTTACAATGGTATGAACATTGACGTTGTGCATATGCGAGTGTACCGAACAGGTAATAGTGAGGCTCTGTAACGACTATCGGTTGACTCTAAACGGACAACGAGGCAACACACGCTAATCCCGCTTCTACTAAAGAAGTATCATTGAAGTGAAACGCAGTCGTAGTATTGATTTGCACATTTTAGTATCCGCTGTAATTACGTGATGAACATAAAGCTGAAAGCTGAATGCTGACAGGAATGGGACTGCCGTAAACGGCTCATATTCGCCAAGAATCAATAAATATGCAGGCCAAATGTATACGTTTATGGGAATGAGGCTCTGTGGGACGATAGATTTGAGCCTCATTTCGACTGATGAGTCACCAAATCTTACCATGTTCGGAATGTGGGCGCTACAGTTATGCTCTCGGCATACTTGAGCTTCGATGTGATATCTTGTCCGTAAGATGCAGGCGAGCCCTTTGATCGTGATCTTAGCAGCTGGTACCAACATCTGGCTGTTCGATATGACATGAATTTAGAGCAGCTGGTCAAGTCAACAGAGCTTAGATTCAAACCGGGTGTTACATATCTGTTGAAGGAGTAATTATGTAACTTTTGGTACATGTGGATAGAAGCAGCAACATGCAGGGTTTCTGCAACGGCTCGGCAGTTCTGTGCTCCGGAATACCATGCGGGTGGTCAGAACGCTGATAGAAAAATGGGTGACCAGTATGCCACAGTCTTCATAAGCAAGCCCCAAGTGCACCTTCCTTTATGATCCACGACTCTATCTTGGCCAGACGCAAATACCAATAGACCTTCATCCTATCTTTCTTGTGATACTATGCAAATTAGTACAACCCTACGCATAAGACTGCGAAGCAAGTAGCGCTTTGATCGTCAGGGACTGAAGCCCACAATAACGTCTGATTCATCGTAACATGTGAGTGGTGCATGCCGGGTTAATCAGTATAAGGGGCCTCTGAACTAACAGTTGGTGTTTGGGATTGACGACTGAACAGGATAGCTAATATTAAACGATGTTAAGAGTAAGGGAGTGCAGTATGAGTTTGTGACTGGGCATGGGCTTAGAGCTGAAAAGTTGTAGTAAAGGACAACATAAATTTACGTCCAGTGTGGTCCTCGGAAGCCGCTGAGGCTGTAGACCAACCAGCCCTATGTGTCCTCTAGTCAGTTTGTACAAATGAGGGTATTTCTACGAACTAAAATTGATATGCTGGCAGTCAGGAAGTTAAATGCAGTTCTGTGAAAGATTGAAGATGATCAATGCTCAGCATATCCCTAGCTTGGAAACATGTTACGTCTGAGATAATGATTTATTTAGTGCTTCTCAGACAAGGACATAGAATTAACAATAGTCTCGCCTTCTCTCACTCTCCGTCGGAATCCTAACATTGTGTCAGACTAGACTTCTGTGACGCGCTATATATACTGTTATTCCTTCCGCAGGATTAACGACGTTTTTTTTCTCTGCGAAAACTTCCTTTATTAATTCCTTGATATAGAGGATAAAGGTCTAAGGCGGATTCTCTCATATCTCAGGCGTGCGTGAGCACGACAGGACTAGAGTAGACAGCGACATTGGTGTCCCTACTTAGTTTTCTTTCTGTATTAAAGCTACAGGAACATTACATATTCACAAGTTTGCTTTGATGCAGGAATTGAGGCAACATAGGTCTGAGCGAATTGAATGAACAAGATCCACGACAAGATCTTGGCTTACTGCTGTTTCGTTTTGATATACTTGCATTATTCACATCATAAAAAAATTATTATTCTTCGATGTGAGTAACTACAGAACCATGAGGGTCTATTGGGATCATTTTTCCATACTATCTAGCAAGAGCTTTGTTGTAAAGCCACTACTTCGTTGCATCCGAAGAAACTTAAGTCTGGCCTTGTCGTGCGAACTCTGAAAATACATTATTGGTTACAGAGGAAATACCAAAACGATCATCTCACTCTGGATCTCACGTGTTATACTGTCTGATGGTGTTTGGTGCTGTATTTGTACATATTGAAGTGATTGTTGTCACGCATCGTGATCTTTTCCCAGTCAACCTCAACTTTGCTAGTCAACAGTACCATCGGCGACATCATCGCCGCGGTGAATGGTGTCTCGCAATCATGCGACTCGAAAGATCCGCTTATTTGCTCAATTTGACCCATCCTCTTTGAGGTCCTGCTGCGCAGCCTTTAATTTTCCTCTGTCAACTTCTGCGGACACCTTCGAATTCACTCGTTCTGAAGTTACCAATTTGCTCCGTAGGTAAACGATCCAACATGTTATCATCACTCTTTCTCTGAAATCTAAATCTTTCAAAAAGGAATATCTGTCACGATGTCAGGAAGTTCTAACGCATTGGAGCCAGAAGCTTGATACCCTCGTTCGACGCCCAATCACCTAGTCGTCGATGGTCTTTGTGGCCCAACGCTGAAACGTTTACCTGCACCAACCGACCTACCAACTATCCCATAGCCTTCGAGGGCTACCTATTTGAATCCTCGGCTATTCGTGAGTCATCATATATCAAAGTACCTGTTATTATCCTCTGACTTGCGTACAGAATCGCTTCGATTGAGAGATGGCATCCGAGAGTAACATCGAAGTTCCTACTAGAGGCAGCACCTCAGAAGACCCCGAAGATGTTCCCATGGTTTCACCGGAGGTCATTGCCGCCCGCCTCGCAGAAGTGCGCTGTAAGTGACTCTCGATACTTCGGCTACTCGTGGGAAATTGTACCAACAGTGTTCCCAACAATTCTTCATACTTCGTACGCCCAATACAGTGATTGCTGACCTCGAGCATAGCATTAAATACTACTTACGACGAGAACCACATGAAGAAAATTCACGATAATATGCGAAAAGAAATTGATAAGGGCAATGAGTATGAAGCCTTGAAGATGGCGCTCGGTTACGCTTGCATCAAAACTTACGTCACCGGATGCTACGATGGCATGATCCGTGTCCGTATCGGTCTCGACGAGCGTCTTGGTTCTCAGAACGTTGCCATCCTCATTACCTTCAACCCCCCTCAAGTTCTCGTCCCGGTCCCTTCTGGCGGAAGAGCTCCAGGAAGCCTGAGGCCGACTCTCCTATATGGACCGCTGCGGACAGTCATGAGTACGCCGCTGAAGATCAAGGAGAAGGTGGCAAGGAAAATTCTTCATGGTAGTAAGTGGTTCTTGGACTTTTCCCCTTTCTATTGTCGTAGTTGCCTTGGCAGGGTTTCACGCCGCTGAAGCATTTACATATCTCACTCAAGATAGCGACAGCTGACCCTCAGGATCCTAGTGCTCGAAGTCTACGGAGATCTCGTGGTCCCAGCGACGATCTCGTTCCTCGACGAATCGGCCGGCCGTAAACCCCCTCCGCTGCTGCTGACGTATGCACTGGGCGTACTGAGCTATACCAACTTCCTCAGAATTTCGAACCCTGCGGCACGTCGGGTTATAGATCATGTCAAATTTCTCGACTCTGCTACTCAGACACAGAGTGCTGACGATTAAGAAGAATTGCGCAAGCTGGACGAGCAGTATCTTGCCTTGCCTGACTGACTAGAAAGCGGTCGTGGGGTCTCGATGTAAGAGATGTACGCAAGTCGCCCAGGGCGCTCGCGCTCGTTTACTCTGATGAGATGAGCTTTCGGTGTCTTATAGCTTATATAGTTACATTACAGAATGGACCATACTCGAGCGTATATGCATCGGACATGATGATGGTTCTTTGAACCGGCTTAACGTACTTGACCCAGAAAGATGCGGATTAGTAACTAGCCGCTGACATGATCCAACGGGAGACCCCGAGAGATAATTTCAGAATCGCAGGTTCTGATCAAGAGA